AAAGAAAGAAAGAAAGAAAGAAAGAAAGAAAGAAAGAAAGAAAGAAAGAAAGAAAGAAAGAAAGAAAGAAAGAAAAAGAAATAGTCTTACCAGCTACGGACAGAGTTTCCCTGGATAGAGTGAGGGTGGTGATGGCAGATGCTGTTCCTGCCAGGGCCCAGTCAGTTGTCAGCAGTTGTCAATCTCAGCAAACTCACCAAGCTTGAGTCTGGTGATTGGAGACGCAAAAGGAACTTGCTTCTTGTGAAGCACAGTTTGAGTTCCAGGGTCCTTTTCTCCCCTCCTGGGAGCAGGAGTGAACAGCAGCTGTAGGCCAGGGCAGGTTCTTGCTCAGTGGCCCCTTTGAGCACATTTAAAGCAGGCCTCTAGGTGGGCTAGTCCTAAGTGGGGAAGGTGTCCCACCCCCGTTCGCGTTACCCTGTGACGTGATGAATCCTGCTAGCACTGAGTATTCTGCCTGATCTTGCTTGCATTTAAGATTCTCCTCTCTGTTATTAAAGCCCTTAGAGGCTATTTTGTAAAGATTCTTTGAAGAGTGTGAGGGGCATTCCTCTAATGGTTGGAGTTTTTTTCCTAATGCGGGTACTAGCAGAGAGATAAAATGAAGGCGGAGATGTAATCTTCTCCCATCAGGGGTCAAACCAGTATATTCGGGCATGGTTTCAGGTAAGCAGGAGAAAAAGAAAGCTGGATTTTCACCAGATCCCTGAGTAAGCTCTTTGATTTGTTTTCATAAGTGACTGTCTTAAGTGCAGGCTTTTCCATTCTTGCTGGGAGGCAGGCAGCCATCTTGGGAACTCATCTGAATTGCATGGCTGTTCCAGGGGATGTCTGAAACATGCCACTGCCTGGGCATGAAGAGTGTTGGTGTGTGCATGAGCCGACATCCAGATACACTCCCTGTTGACAAGAGAAAGGGTGGAGGTCAAGGTGACAAATGTCATGTCATGTCAGCTCAAGGAACTGGGTAAGATATTGACATAGTTTGTGACAGGCATTGGGTTGGAGACAAAGGCCTTCAAACACGTTTCTGCCTGAACATGTGACATAAAGGGGACTATGGACAAGCATAGGGCCTTCAGGGAAGGTGACCTCACAGAGTAGAAGAATAGGGTGAACCTGATCAGGAGGCGGTGTTGAATGAGAACAGGGGTGAGGCAAGGAGAGCTGGGTAGGAGCTTGGAAGAGGAGGCTGGTAGGTTAAAAATTAGTGCCAGGCCTGGGGAATCTGGTGGTCTCCTCAGGGAAGGTTGGGAAGAGAAGAGTGGCGGGGGAAAGGATGCTGTCATTAGAGATGGGACAGTGGCAGATGAGAAG